TACTCTCGAGAGGACTCTCAAATTGTGTTCAGGTCTCTATCGGTGATAAATTTGACTCTCGAGAGTAATTTGCGATAGTTTTACTATCAAGTGAATACGTATGCTTAGCTGAGATTTTTAATTAATATCTGAAAAGGTTAACTCTCCATCGGTGATAAATTTGACTCTCGAGAGCGACTCCTGAGAGTTTTACTCTCAAATGAATATGTATATTTACCTGAAATTTTTAATTAATATCTGAAAAAATTAATTCTCCATCAATAATAAATTTGACTCTCGAGAGCGACTCCTGAGAATTTTACTCTCTAGTGTATGCATATCATTTAGCTAAAATCTGTAATTAATATCCGACAAAATTAACTCTCCATCGGTGATAAATTTGACTCTCGAGAGCGACTCCTGAGAGTTTTACTCTCAAATGAATATGTATATTTACCTGAAATTTTTAATTAATATCTGAAAAAATTAATTCTCCATCAATAATAAATTTGACTCTCGAGAGCGACTCCTGAGAATTTTACTCTCTAGTGTATGCATATCATTTAGCTAAAATCTGTAATTAATATCCGACAAAATTAACTCTCCATCGGTGATAAATTTGACTCTCGAGAGCGACTCCTGAGAGTTTTACTCTCAAATGAATATGTATATTTACCTGAAATTTTTAATTAATATCTGAAAAAATTAATTCTCCATCAATAATAAATTTGACTCTCGAGAGCGACTCCTGAGAATTTTACTCTCTAGTGTATGCATATCATTTAGCTAAAATCTGTAATTAATTCTCCATCAGTGATAAATTTTACTCTCGAGAGCAACTCCTGAGAGCTTTACACTCTAGTGAATGCACACCTTTAGCAGAAATTTTTAATTAATATCTGAAAATATGCAGAGAAAATCTTTAATGAACAGCACAAGAAATGGAGAGAAAATCTTAAATTACCAACTGAAAAATGTGTTCATTTGACTCTCGAGAGCAACTCGAGACAGTTTTACTCTCAAGTGAACACATATCTTCAGCTAAACTCTTAAATGAACAACTGAAAAAGTGGAGAAAGTACCTGCTTCGTGATGCGCCAAAAAATTTGCTCCAAAAGAATAAACATAGTCTTCCCTAGAAAAACTCGACGGTGCTTTCTAATTAGCTAATCATACCTTATCGAAAACTCGTCGAGAGTAATATCTAGGTTGCTCCAACACATAACCGAGCACGTTCTTTCTCTACAAACGTCGAGGATCGCCTGAAAAAAGGGGGAATTCTCGTTTCCGTGAATGAGACGCTCCACGTGATCGCTTTTCGGCGTCTGACGAGCTACCAATTGACCTGGTCGTCGCTCAACCTACCTGCCTGCCCACCGGTCAGATCAATAGTAGGTCAATGGAATTCCTTCGGCCGGACCACGTTCACCTCCCTTGACCCGCTTGATTGCTTCTCTGGACCACGAAATCCGACGTTACGCGATATCGGACGACGTAGAAGCTGTACAAGATGTTCCACATGTAAATACTCTCTGCACAGTGTGTTGTCTTAAACGGTGCACTCTCTCGTTGTGATGCAAGTGAAATTAAAAGCTTTCAGGTTGACAGTATAAGAGTTGAAAAATGCAGAAATTATTTTTCTCTTTTTTAGGTAGCTTGGTTTGTAATTATTGAAATATTCAAATGTAACGAGATGTGAGATACGCGGAGGTTAACGAAGGTAGCGATATGAAAAGAAAGAGAGGCGTACACTAAATCGAGGTGACGTGAGATTGACCGACTTAGGATAGGATTTTTCAAATTCTGATCAGTGACTTTACTGCGCGCATTTCGAAGGGAAATTCTTAGAAATCCCTAGAACGAAGGGAAATTCTTCGAAGGAAATATAGCGCTTCAAGAGATAAAGGTAGGCCTCCAGAAAGAATTTTCCTTGGAAACTGGGGAATTATTATATAGATATATCGTACTGTATGGCTGGAAGATTAATTACTTGACCTTAGAAGAAATGAAAACTCTATCATGGGAAATATAGTCTTGCGAGAGATGAAATTAGGTTTCCAGAAAAACTTTCTTTTGGAAATTGGAGAATTATTATATGCTCTATGGCCTGGCGAATCATCCCTTAACCCGGAAACACTAGAGAATATAGCGCTGCAAGAGATAAAGTTAGGCCTCCAAAAAGAATTTCCCTCGAAAACTGGAAAATTATTATTCACATCATACTCTATATCCTTACGACTCATCCCACAACCTCAGAAAATTGATATGGAGAATATACATAGCGCTCCAAGTGACAAAAACAGACCTCAAAGAACAAGTTCCTCGACAACTGGAAAATTATCATATAAACCACCCTCTATAACACGCTAAATAACCAAAACGATGAAAATAGGCTAGGTTAAAAACTCCACAACTTGTTGACATAAATCCAGTAAAACGATCACATCGACGCACAAAAAAGAAGAATAAGACGAAGAAAATGACAGCTGTCGATGGGAAAATCCCGAGGATCATCGACGACGCACGTCGTTCCACATAACCAATACAACTACTTACTTTTCCTAGGCGAATCGAATCTCAGTCGATGATTTTGCTACGTGTTTCACGACAATTAACCTCGATACGAAAAAGCAAACGTGCATATTAGGGTTACTTAATATTCCACGCGTCTGTCTTCTCGTATTTTTTTCTTTCACGGTTCGCTCTAAATTTCACTCTCGCGTTCCACTTTTTTCCCCCTCTAACTGTCCACGTTCGTTTCGCCGTTTTGGTACGGATCATCGACTTGCCTCCGCTGGGTTCAACGAGAGAGTCGACAAGCGGTCGCAAGAAACCGATCTCGTAGACGTCGTCTCGGTGTAATCGAGGGATAATCGAAACTGGATCACTTGCGAGCTCGCGTCAGACCGGTTTGATGGCACATAAACAGCGCTCGGCAACGGTCCAGCGGTTCGCAGCTTCCGACAAACATTGCAGAAGAAGTTTCACGGGAATACGAGCACGTTTGTTCGCGAGCATCGAAAACAGTTACAATTGAATCTTTGTTAACGGTGCAACGTGATCCAGCGAAGAAAAATCGCGATATCGTCGATGTTTCTCTACGAATTACATATATATCGAGTGTGAAAAAATTGTTGGTGCAAATACACAAGGAAAAGTTGAATAACAATGGATCGTTAATGGTGTACAGTTACGTAGTAAATTAGTAATCGTGTCAATGAATACATAAACGAACGCAGGCATTTCTGACAGGAAGCTGCATCTGTCTTTCGAAATTACTATAGCATTCATGCCTTCGAGTAATTCATCACGCTGGTAATACAATGAGGCTGATGCTTCGACAATTTTCGCCTCTAATTGCTCTGCAATCAGTGGCTATTTGTTTATACATTCTGCACGATGGTAATATGAATTAGAATTGTAACGGTGGTGTCTTGCTATATGAGGATAGCACTACTGTCATCACGTGGATGCGGCCATTCATACGAAATTTTAGCTCTGGGCAAAAGTTCGCATAAATTCTCTCTATTTATTTTTTAGATTATTTAGGTTTCATTGTCTTCAAAACAATTTCCTTCACTTTCGACTATTTTTTGGTACCTTCTAGGCGACTGTTGATTTTCTTGAGAAAAAGTGAGACCGATTTTGAGGTAATTAGGTCGTAAATTATGAGAGACTGAATAAAAACAACTGGTGCTACATTTTTCTCGTTTATTAAATTTCTTAAGTTCAAAGACGTAACGCAATAGACATTCTCATACCACACCACTTCAGTCATAACTCCTCAGAACAGTACCACGAAGCACGGCAAACGCCTCACACGCACACACACTGGTGGCCATAAGTTTGCAATCACTGTGCATTTCAAATTCCATAAAGAATTTCAGAAAGGAATTAACAATTTCAAGGATTTTTCAACGAATTTTCTGCGACTTAAACCAATCAATTTCAAATCTACGAACAATCTGTGGCAGATTCAGTACGAATGTGAATTGGCAGCTGATTCAAAACTTATGGCCTCGGAATTTCGAGACTCTCAATCAAAGAATTACCCATTTCGAGGATTCCTTCTATCGATCGTTAAATTGCTATCAATCTCCACACCGTAAATTTCAAATCTACAAAGAAGCAGCAGGTGATTGCGAACTCACTCATCTCAAAAGTTTCTCCCCGCGATCTCAAGATTCTCGATTAAATACCCCCGAACGACGATCACAAAGTGTCTAATTTCCACGTGAACGAGTTCCACGTGACCAAGATACCACCGCGAGCATAACGTTATCCTCTCGCGGCCGCGCGCAGGATTCTCGATCTAACGCGCTTTTCCCATCGGCTTTCACCGCGAGCCAGGAGCCAACGTTACAGCCCGCGCCGCACGCTGCATACAAACTCCGAAAATCCTCGATCGACGCCTATTCGACACGCGCGCGCGCGCGTAACTGGACGCGCGGCTGGTTGCAGCCGGAGAGGAGACGATAATGACCTTCCACGGAACGGCCGTGAAGACACGGGAGTAGGAGGGCCTTTGACACACTTGACGCTCCAGGTGAATTGTAACCGAGAACCGAGAAGCTCGTGGTTAGTTTTGAGCGGGAGATCGAACGAGTAGGCACGTACGTCGCGTGCGCGGAGCTCAGAGAAGAATCACGGCTGAAAGAGGGCGAGCGAGGGGGAGAGTATGAGCGGCGATGTCGGTGATGATCGATGAATCGTGGTGCAATGGGACTATGTAACGTCGTTCTTGCTCGAAGCGATCGGGTGGAATATTAAATCCGCGATTCGAACTTTGATATCGAGGTCGAGACAGGTGGAGGGGGCAGCGGAAGTGATAAAAGGTGCACGTGGATCGAGGTGATGTCTGTTTGACGAAATCAAAAGTGCATCGACCGTCGTGCTCGCGCTTCCTGGTCCACATTCTCGCAACTACTGCCGCTCGTTCCTGCTCTATTTTTCACGCGTGTGAAATTCCTTTTCAGGATCTGTCCCTTGCGATCCAAAACGGTCTAGACCGTTGGCCGAGGATGAATACGAAGTTGGTGTTTGTGCTGGTGTGTCTGTGCGCGACGCAGGCCAGCTGCTATCTGTTCTCCGCGAATAACCTGAAGAGGTACTCGAGGATCTTCCAGTTCGACGGTCTCCTGCGAAACGAGAGCGGAAATGAATTGTGGAGAGGATTGTTCAGGGATTGCGACAGATCTGTCACCTTCTCCTGCATTCAGAAGAACGCTTACACGTATTTGGACGACGTTTTCATCGAGAGGGACAATATCACCGTGTTCGACGGTCTGACGATGACGAAGAACGATTTGGATTACGGAACCTGCCGGAGGAAGGACGATCGAGACTCCTTGGACGAGAATTTGGTGGAAGGATCTGGTAAACGAAACTGCGACGAGGAAGAAAGTGAAGAAGAGAAGGGGAAGGAGGAAGGTCGGCAATTCGAGGAGAATCGATCACCTCTGGAGGAAGTGACGAACGCTTTGAGGAAGAGGGCGGTGAAATTCCTGGCAACCAGGGATTATCAAATTCAGCTACCCAAATTTTTCTTCGAAGGCGCTACCGTTAAAATAAGTCCCCGAGAGATAGACGAAAATGGCGCGCTGGTTAGGGTGGACTTCGGTCAGACCGGTGTGCAGAGCGAAGGAAGAATTTTCAAGAAAATTAGTACGACAATTAACAACCTAACAATTAACCGATATTTATCACGATCTAAACGATATCCTTCTCTTTTTTAGAAAAATTCATACAGAACAAGCTGTTGACCAGCTTACTAGCCCTCCTGTTGATCATCAAACTCATCAAAGTGAAGTTCATGTTCATAATACCATTCCTGTTCGGCGTTGGCACTGCGAAGAAACTGTTCCTGAAGCTGCTGCTCTTCTTTATACCGGCGTTCGCACATGTCTTTAAACTGTGTTCCAGTTTTTACACGGCGCACTCGACCAAGTTCCATCATCATCACCATCAGGTGAATATCGTGACAATTCCAATCCCTCGACACGAATATTCTACAAATACTCTCTATATAAATATTTTTATACATCCCGAGTGTCACGATTAACTCCGTCTTTATTCCAGATAGCCCATCACCATCACCATGTGCCAGTTCCGGTACCGATTCCAGCCTACTACAATCACCATCACCATCATCACGACGAGGAGGACTTCGACGGATACGATTACGCCCATCCTCACATCCAGTACAGGAAAGACATAGAGGAATTGAAAGAATGGGGCATAGAGCCGAACGAGGAGCCGTACGACGATCAAACGGAGCCTCTAGGAGCGATGCCGGTTCGAAATCCACCAGGAGTGCTTCCAGCGCCATATCCAGCGCCTTATCCAGCGCCTACTTACGCAGGAGCGTATGGTATACCTCAGTACGCGGCGAACACACAGCCTATAGCGTCCCCGTATCCGGAGAAACGTCCTCCAGTGCCAGTTTCGGCCCACAACTTGGCCTACTCAGCGTACGTTGATAATAACGGCCGTCGTACAGTGGTGCAAGCGCCTAACCCAGCGGCAATTATCAACGCTCCTTCGTTGAACCCTGCGAATTTACCGTCGACAATGCTACCGACCGCCACGAACGTGAAATCTTCGTACACGGTGTTCGGACAGCAGAACCCGAGACATGTCACGGGGAAGAATAACTCCTCGGATATGAAAGTGGTAGCTGTCGCTAAGCCGCGACAAGGATTCGACGACGAATTCTACGGACCTATAATCAACAGACTGGAGGAGATATTTAAGCAACTGAGATTCGTCGACGAGGCCTGCAGAGAGAGGCTCGTGTGCAGCATGTACAAGAACCCGACAGTGTACTCGCCGCATAGCAATCTCGTGTCGAACGAACTGTCCAGGTAGGAAACTATGGAACGTGCAATTACTACGACGGTTGAAAAAATATACGAGTGTTTCTTAAATAGCAGTAAGTGTTCTAGTTATTGCTGTTCGGTGTCGGGAGGTGGTTTGAAGCTGGAAAGCGTGGAAACGGGAACAGTTTATCGGGATAGGATAAGTTCGAATTCGGGGCTACTTACGAAAATCGAATTCCTCGGTGTGCATAAATTACAGAGACAAATTCGTCCGGTTCGACACGTTCGATATATTAATTATACATTCACCTGCGCGCCACACGTTCGAATTCGATCGGCTCGAGGCGTCGATCACGAAGAGAAAGGTGGCCAACGCTCCGAATCGGAACGTTGAATCACGTTCCACGCGAACTCGTCTCTTTTTCTTCTTACGTTCTTGCCTACCTCCGTTCGTTCGTTCCTTCGCCGACAACAATAAACTCTTCCGTAGAAGAGCATTCCGCGGAACCATTAGTTCCAGTAGGAAGCAACGCGATCTAACTTCTTCTCCGGTGTTGTGTTTATTAAAGAGAGATCATCTTGTTAGCGAGCCGGAGTCCGCTAAATGGCGAAAGTATCACGAGTCTCTAGATGCGGGGGAATCGGGTCATCGTTCACGTTTTAACACGATCATCGAGCACGTTGACAAGTTTGTTCATTGGATTTTTTCGTGTGTTACAGAGATCCGCAGGAGTTGAAGCGAGGTGGGACGGAGAGCTCGTCCAGCCGGAAGTTCCACAGATATATGAACGCGGCTAGATTGGGTCAAGATGGTGGAGATTGCCTGAGAACGTATCCATGTCACATAAACACCGAGTAAACCAGACGTGGAATTTTCTCGCCGATTTACGGACCGGGGAGGCCCGACACACGCAAACCAGGCGTTGATGTCTCCCGGGCCACGCGTTGAAGTCTCCGGGACGAGTCACACTGGTCGAGTCTGCTACGCGCGATTTAGGCGGCCGCGGAATGCTTGCTTAGGTCGAGACGACGAATGAACTCGTTTGTGAAAGCATGTCAGATTATCTTGTATTTAACGTATCGAAACGTTTTACCGTAGTAAAAATCTTTCTCTTTTTAAATGTAACTGTAAGTACGTGGAAGTGTTTTGATCGTTCCGTGAGATTTTACTTGTTTGTAGATTCTTCGTGGACTTTGTGATGGATTGAATGTTAAATCGAACGAGACGGAGTAAACTTTCTCTTCGATTTTATTGATTGTTGTATTTAAGAATGTAGATAGGTGATTTCTTGGAACTACCGTATTCGGTCTTCGATATCTGTTTGGAAGATTGAATAAGGTTTTTCTGATGAAACGTCAAATTGTGAAACTTTGACACTTTGTCAGAAGAGTCGACGAAAGGTAATTCCTAAGATATATTCCTCGATGCGACGAAAATGATGCACCGATGTTCGCAGCTTTCTGTGTTTGCTTGTTGCAATTGTAAATGTCCTCGGTTATACTATTTTACGTGTAATTAAGAGTAAGTGGTGGTAAATGTGAATGAATCTTTAGAATGACAACTCCTAATACTTTACGTAAGAATTTATTTATTTTTCGATACGACTATTTATTGTTACGTTCTCGGGTGCCATACCCAGTTAATATTTATTCTATTTAACAGCTCGATTGTGTTTAAATAGTACTGTACAAAGCGAAATAATTCTTCGATGACGCTACCTCGAAGTTTCGATGTGTATCTTTGTTTTGTTCACAATAAACGAAGTAAAAAGAGAAGCCAACAAACTATTATACCCTACATTACCCTAACCACACGTAACAAACGTAAAAAAATAATTACGTGAAATTCAACATCAGAAATTTACATCGAAATACTCAATGCGTGCTTAAAAAAGCAAAATGCAGCCGATCTTCGTTCAATTACCAAAGAAATACGTAAAATTCGTTATTTATCGCAATAAGACAAACGATAAGAGCTTCATTGAGCGAAAGAAATGGCGAGCCTCATTCACACCTGCCTTACGCAAGCTCGACTAAAACTCCCATAAATAAAATCACTTTCTATCGAGTTTCCACCGGTCCTCATTATTCCCCCGTTCATAAAGCCTTCTTACTTTCATCTATTCTCCTCTCACGATCCACGCGCGAGCAATTTCACTTCGCCGCCATTGGTTTTCCTCAGGCTCGAGCCGTCGTCGCTCGAAATCCACCCGCAGTCCGAAAAACCCAGCCTGTCCCTCGAACCTCGTGACTGCAACTGTCTGAGAAATCTCAGGTGCATGGTTCCACGCGCGGCCTGGAACCGGAAACTAGCGGAAGCGGTTGGATGTCGAAACCAAAATCGTCCCGCAGGGACGAAGAATCGAGCCGTGAAAACATCGTCACCCTAGATAATGAGGCTTTCTTCTTTCCTTTCAGACGGCCACACGTCCCTGATCAGAATTCATCGTTCGTAGCTGGCTACCATCGACTATAAAACCGCGTTGTCTTCGTTCGAGCCGGCATTCGGTGTTTAGCCTCGCAAATCGGTGGGTACCATCATGAAGTTTCCAACGATCGCCGCTTCCCTCGCCCTTCTGGCCGCTCTGGCCTCGGCGCAGACGATTGAGACCACGACTGACGCCCTACGAAATATTTATTACAGGTAAATATAACGAACAGAGAGAAATTGTAGAATATTTTTGTCTTCCACGATTAATATTCAATTTTTCTCAGATGCATCGACAACGAGAACATGTTGTCCTGCGTGAAACCAAAAGTCCTGTCTTACCTCAGCAACGCTGTGAAGCAAGACAGACTGGCCATCACCGACGACTTGGCGATAGTGAAGTCGAGAGACTTTCCGGAAGAAAGCAACGAAGAGTACTATCCCTCGCAGTACGACTCCGTTGATCCTACTAGGAAGGAACTTCTGAGGTCTCTGATGTTGGAGAAACTTGACGCGTACCTGTCGAACCATCAACTGGAGGCTAAGCTACCGGAAGCTATCGCAGGATCTAACATTGTGCCGAGATCCTTGGTAGATAGTATGCCTGGCAGCCTGACTGTTCCTCTGTCTGACTCTTCTAATGGCCAAGGTAAAAGGACGATCTTTATAATTCAACCTTCGATCCATTTAATTAAATTCAATTATACAAGTCGTTATATTTTCATTTTTCAACGTCCGTATTTTATTCACAGGTCGTGGATTCGTCAAGAAGGTCATGATTCCCTTCCTCCTCGGTCTCAAGTTCAAGGCTACCGCTCTGGTACCTCTCGCGCTTGCTCTGATCGCGCTCAAGACGTGGAAAGCTCTGACCCTGGGTCTCCTCTCGATGGTACTCAGCGGAGCAATGATGATCTTCAAGCTGACGAAGCCGAAAGTCGCCTACGAAGTCGTCCATTACGGTCACCCGCCTGTGGAGCATCCTCCACACTGGGAGACAGCAGCTCATGGTCCCTACAGGGCTTACAGGAAGTAGGCCGATACGCCGAGCTCAACTTTCTGCCTCTAGATCGTTTTATTTAATATTTATTCTGACGCGAACTTATTTATAAATAAAATTTCTGACATGGTCTCATCCAACTGAACTGTTCGCCCTTTACTCGTTCCTTACCCTCTCTGATCAACGTGAGAAGAAAATAAAGAAAGGATGTGTGTGCGCGGATGGTTTCACGGAATCGGACACTTTCCTTTTTATTATTTGCCTACGCGAGGAGAATCGACGGGACATCCGAGCGGGGATTTAAACGCCGTGAAAGTGGAAAGGGTTACTTAAGAATTCAGCGTTTGCTTCGCGTAAATCCGTTGGAAATTTGCTGTCGTGGGGGGTAATTGGGTCGATTGGCTCGAGCTGCGTCCTTTCCAATTGATCGTGGAACAGTAAAAGTAGCCATTGTTCCTTGAAACATCGATTCATCGAATTGTACGATGGATTTCATTCAGCTTTTTCCTAAGATCTACGAGCTTCACTTCGTCGAAGTGAATCGTTCGTAACGAAGTAGAAGAACGAAGAGTAGATTTTTTAGTGAAAATGGAGGAGAACGCAGGCGACTGGCGTGGAAACTTGGAAAGAGGAGGAAAAAATAGAGACGTGGAAGAGGTGACATCGATCGGTGCTACTTTGTCCTGAATGTTTATGCAAACTCGACCCAAAATTCCAATTACCGTTTCATTGTTACGAGCAGCAGGAAGTCGGGCAGAGCGCACAAAAGTGTCTCCTGACAACCCCACGCGTGCATTCTCGCACGAGAAATTCGCACGCGGCGAGCATTCGTGATGCGACTCGCGGTATCTCTTTGCTGAATTCAGCCGCGCACGTGGCTCAATTGCGGCCATTAGGGGGTGAAATTATCTCGTCAAGCTTGCAATTAATTGCTAATCCTTTACATTAACTTAATTCTACACTGTTCAAAAGAATTCCGCGTATTCTGTCACCTGGAGAACACCATTTCCTTGAGAAAATTCTTGTGAAATTCACGCTGCACAATTGCGATTATTTCGATACGTTTGCAGCGCTGATTCGTGTGAAACAGAGAAGTGAAGAATGAAACTGCGATGATACAATTATGCTCTAATTCTTTCGGCGAAGGTTGTTCAATTGGTTCGTTATTTAATAGGAGAAAAATTGTCTCGAGAGGGTGAATGGCTCGTTAGTATTTGTAAGGGGTGGGGAGAGTGTCGGTATTAACGGAGCAGACGTGTGGAAAGTGCCGCGTTCGTGGCGTGAATGAACGATGGATTCAATGCCAATGTTACGGTGGCATTGGTGCCAAGGATGAAGGGTCTTCTACTCTTACTGGCGCGCACGCCACCCATTTCCGCTTCGCCGCATGGAACGATGGTTTATGATAGCAGGCCAAATATTCGAAAGTTTTCGCCCAGTTCATTGCGTGAGCCGATTATTTTATCGGATCATGATCGAGGTTAATGAAATGATAGATATTTCGTCCACTTTCGGATGAATATTGAAGAGCACCGGACCCTTATTCGTCGCGTAAATGTACGTCCAGTTCTTCAGTAGAAATCGAATAAAATCGGTACGATTTCTAGTAAGTACATATAGTCGTAAATTTTGAGTACAAAAGTAAATTAATAGAGTGTGTATACTAGTGTCCAAAATTTTAGAATATTCTTCTTCAGTTTTTCCAAAATTTTCTTAAGTTAACAGCCAAGAAATTAAAAAGATCATTTATCTGATGATACGCGCATCAAATCTACTACCAATTTTTCTGAAATTCCCTTGAATTAACCAATCGTTTTTCCAATGCAACCCCAAATCCAAAATTTCCTCAAGATAACAGCCAAAAGATTAGAATCATCATTTGTCTTATTACTAATTTTTCTAAAATTCCCTTGAATTAACCAATCGTTTTTCCAATGCAACCCCAAATTCAAAATTTCCTCAAGATAACAGCCAAAAGATTAGAATCATCATTTGTCTGATTACTAATTTTTCTAAAATTCCCTTGAATTAACTTTTTGCTATTTTTCCAAAGCAACCCCAAAAATTGTTGAGACGTGACAGAATCTCTGCAACCAGCAGCGACACAAAAGTCACACGAAAATTCCCTTCGAAAAATCCACTCAACTGTTCAGATCTTGGAAGCATAATCGCGTGTCGTGCACGCGAAGCACGCGACCCTCTCGCCCGACGTCGCCGCGGAGGAGCTTTCTTTCCACCGGTTTGATCCTGGCCGATCGAGTAGTCGCGTCACGATCACGTCGAGGCCTCGATAATCGAACACCATACTGAACGAAAAGAAAATTCGTGGCCGGATGGAAGTGGGGGCGGCATGTGTGTTTCGCTACGCGATGACACTCCGGCGATTCGTCTACCTGGGGGCTTCGTATAAATAGCCTGGTGCCCAACCCAATGGCATCAGTCGTCGCACCATCGTCGTTCCCAGCGATTGTCCATCAGACAACCGACCAGACTTCTTCAGGGTATCGCAGGATTCCCCGCGGGTATCACACCAGAGGAAAACCAAAAAGGAAAATCATGAAACTTCTCGTGTTTTGTGCTCTGCTGGCCGTGGCGGCTGCTCAACCCGCGAAGAACGACCTCTGGAAGGGTAGCAACATGGACCAGATGGTCGACCAGACTAGAACCGAGTGTGCACAGAAGAACGACGAGGTTGCCTGCATGAAATTCAAGGTCCTGAACCTTCTCGACCAGATCTTCCGCAAAGACAGCTTCAAGGCAAGTCTCCCCAATTTCTCTTTCCACTTTTCACCACCTCGTCTCCAGTCCCACTGATCCAGTTCACCTGTCCACCGTTTGAAAGTTAGTTGTAGAAAGGAAAATCGAAGGTTGCACAACGATCTCAGCCTACCTAAATCCGTCACTTTCTACATCCCGCTCCGTTGCAGGTCTCCGAAACCGTGGAGGTGACGCGCAACTCGAACCCAGTCGAGGAAGTTTCAGCCCGCAGCGAAGGTTCTTTCCTGGAGAACGTTCAGACTTACCTGTCCTCTCACGACGTCACCTTCAAGCTTCCCCTGGAATCTTCGGTGAAGGTGAGCGCGAGGAACATCGACGACGATCACCTCTCCTTCGACGTGAAGTTCGGCCAGGGTCGTGCCGTTGAAGAGGCTCGCAAGTCCAAGCTGAAGAAAGTCGTCATCCCGATTTTAGTCTTCGTCCTCCTCAAAGCGATGACACTCATCCCTCTCGCGATCGGTGTCCTCGGTTTGAAGGCGTGGAACGCGCTTCAGCTCTCCTTCTTCAGTTTCATCGTCTCCGTGGGAATGGCGATATTCCAATTGTGCAAGAAGATCGCCGCGGACAGCCACGGTGCACCGTTGGCCTCTCACGGGCCATGGGAGTACCAAGCTCAGTACAGATCGCTTCAGGATGAACAACCGTCGGTGCTGTACGCGCAGAATCTCGCTTATTCCGGTCACGCGCAGTCGTAAACGCGCACGTTCATTCACTGTCGCGACTTTTGTAAAATACCTGTCTCTTCCTGTGCTCTCCTCTGTACTCTTTATTTAATAAATTATTGTTGCAATCTACCTCGGCCTGTTTCGCTCCCTCTTCACGTACCTCGTAATAACGAACTAATCCTACGTTAGCTCTGTCGATGCACCCAGGTGGAAGATCGAAGCGTGTGACAGGGTGGAAAATTATTTTAACAGAGCTTTCACGAGTGGAAGTAACGAGCGACGCGCTGTCGCGAGATTACAGGTAGTTTCGTTCTTTATTTCTGTCAGATCGAACGTTTAGCTGCACGTTACAATTATCGAGGGAGCTTCTCTGATCGGAATTAACTAGGGAAACGTGGAATTACAAGCGTTTCGTTACGGGGTGAAACATTTAGTTACAGGTTGCAATTATGTCTTTACTTCTAATACGTTTTACAAGCATCGCAGAGTAAAAATCGCGTTATCACTGTAATCATCGTAATAGCCGTGAAACCTAATTGCCGGAGAGTAAAAAAGGTGGAGGATAAGTGCTTTAATTCGAAGCCTTTAATCGAAGGACATTATTAAATGTTGCGAAAGGTAACGCTGGATAAATTGTCGTCTCGATGCTATTTTCAGCGACGAAGCTCGCTAGCTGTTCAATGGACGATAGTGGTGCATTAATGGTGTGTAACTTGTTTCATAATTTACCAGGACGAACGACGATGATTAGAGTCACACGCATCCTTCGCCCTAATTGACTAGATATGTCCTTGTAAACGATCGATTTATGTGAAAAACCACGTGAGAAATTATGGTCGAGGAGGGGGAAATCTAGTTGCAGACGGGGAACAGCCGGTTCTGCAAGGAGATTATGCCCGATAATGATCAGACGCGACTGCTTGCCGACGAGGACACGAAAGCACCGGTACGTTTCGAGGGGATTCCGGTAAAATGGAAATTTCTGACCTTTGCGCAGCTTGCGCTTTCCTTTCCCTTGGTACACCTTCGGAATTTTAAACGACGTTTGGATATAGAAACTGCGTTTCTTCTTTCGGACTGTTTTGGAACTGGGTTGGGTGTTGTAACGGTCGTAAACGATGTTGTAATTTAGTACTTTCGGCTGGTTTATAGTTTGAATGGAAATGTAATTTTGTGTAAGGATTGTTTGTTGTAATGTAGAAATTGTGAATGCGTTGGAAATTTTTGGAGAAATTTTCCTGGATATTGAATGAAATTTTTCTAAGAATTCTGAAGTATTGTTTATTTTACCCTTGACCTAAGATTTACCTAAGGAATGAATAAAAGGAATGTGTATTAGGTATACTAGTAACAGCTTTTACTGAACTTTTATTTTTAAGAATTCCGAAGCATTGCTTATTTTTACCTTCGATCTCAAATTTACATTATAAAAATTACCAAATAGCACTCAAAGTGAAGATTGAAAGGAACGTATATTAGGTACAGTAACAACTTTTACTGAACTTTTATTTTTAAGAATTCCGAAGCATTGCTTATTTTTACCTTCGATCTCAAATTTACATTATAAAAATTACCAAATAGCACTCAAAGTGAAGATTGAAAGGAACGTATATTAGGTACAGTAACAACTTTTACTGAACTTTTATTTTTAAGAATTCCGAAGCATTGCTTATTTTTACCTTTGATCTAAAATTTACATTGTAAAAATTACCAAATAGCACTTAAACTGAATAATAGAAGGAATATATGTTAGATATAGTAGCAACTCTTGCTGAATCTCCTTTTTTAAGAATTCTAAACTATTGTTTTTACCTTTAACCTAATTTTACATAAAAATTGTCAAATAGTACTCAAAGCTCTTGTAGCAACTTTTACCAAACCTCCGATGTTTAAGAATTCTGAAGTATTGTTCATTTTTACCCCTGACCTAAAATTTACTTTATAAAAATTATCAAATATTACTCGAAGCGAAGATTAAAATGAATACATGGTAAATGCAATAGCAACTCTTGCTGAACCTCGTCGTAACCTGTGTGTAAAATATGTAATAAAGATTGTTATTATTACACGAATGTATCTCTTTTCTATGGAATCTTCTAAACACCTTCAAAATTTCTTCTCACTTCAAAAAACATGATAAATAAATCCTCGAGAACTGTCTCCACGTGCACATGCAAAATCACCATCGTTCAATCTCCAAACTTTGCAAACGTTTGTATGCAAACGAAAATTCCAAAGAGCACCTTCTTTCTCATAAATTTTCTAACAGAGATCTCCTTCGCTCCAAACTCAATTATAAAAGTCTTCACAAAAAGAAACTCACGAAACCACCCTGCATCGATCCCCAAAACCGCACTGAAAAGATCCAGATCCGCTCTCCTCGGCAAAAAAAAAAATCGAAGCCACGGAACATTCCTTCGTCCCTAATATAGCCATCTGAAACGTGAAATAGAGAAAAGAAAAGAAGATGGTCGCTTAGAAACTCTCGATCCCGTTCGACCGTCTATCGGCGTTACAACGAGAACGGTTCGCCGCTGCCGAAAGCGCGTGGCCGAATACACGAAGAAGGCATACCTGGGGCGTTAGAAACGACGTCCAAGTAAGAGCACGACGAATCGAGCTAAGCGTTCGGTGAACGCGGGGCAAGTTCCGTTTCCCGTTTGTAACAGCGAGGCGTCGCGCATGCCATCGTGTACGCCGTACGCGACGCTACATACGTGTGTACGCGTCGGGACGCGTGCACGCACGTACATAGAGCCGAGAAAGAGACAGCGAAGGAATGAACGGAGGAGAAGCGAGGAGAACTCGGTCTATGGTGCCAGTGAAATTTGAATAATTTTCCTTCGATCGACGATTCCCGGCATGCGCGACCGAATAACATAGATTCGCGGGGGGCAAATTAAATAAAAGGGGCGGGCCACTCCTCCGTCAGTCGCAGTTCGATCGGCGATCGCTCGCTCGCACACGCTCGAGTGGACGATCGATCGTTTCCGCGTTTTCATTGCGAGTTTCAAGAGGCACACCGTCAGTTTCTTCCCAGTCCAGCAACTGATTTTTCGTGTTGATCCACCGAGGAGATCGTCGAAAGGAGGAAAGATGAGGATACTGGTAGCTGTAGCAACGGTCGTGCTGATGGCAGGAAGCTGCCTGGCAAGTCAGGACTTCCTCTCCAAATCTCTCAACGAGTGCATCGCAGCTGACTCGTGGATGTCATGCTTGAAACGTGAAGTTCTCGGATACTTGGACGACAAACTTGGAACGAATACCGGAGCCAGGTCGTTGGATACGTTGGACGAAGCTATCGTGGCGAGGACTTTTAAATATTTCAAGAGATTCGATTACGGAGTTGATCTACCGTTCGTGGACGCTAGACTGAAGTACAGACCTAACAGGAGTTTGGCTGATTTAGACCTCGAGTTTAAAGGGAACGAAGTTGCTACCAGCCAAGCTAGAGGAATTCTGAAGAAGAAGTTGCTGTTGCCGTTCTTGTTGCTGTTGAAGTTGAAACTGAAGGCTCTCATGCCTATATTCGTGGCTATCATTGGACTGAAGGCGCTGAAGGCTCTGGTGCTCTCGAAACTCGCGGTACTTCTCGTTGTCGGGTTCGTCGCTGTGCAGCTATTTAAGAAGGGTGGAATGATGATGCCAATGGGTACGTAGCATACTTGAATTCGTATAGAAATAATACAACTTATCTCGATAAAATAGAAACACTTGCACCAACCTTGGGACGAAAATTTTTAGGCCATTTGTCAAATAATATTAGTATTGAATCTGCTACCAATTTTTTAAGGATTTGCAATTAATTTTGAAGAGACGAGTAGCACTTTACTTCACAAACAAAATTTATCAAAATTTTCTAAAAATTTTGGAGTACCTTGCAATGCATAACGGTCCCGAATTTCTAGCCCACGTATTATATTTAGTATGCCAACGAGGAACGGTAACTTTTCTCTTCCCGCGCACACTTAAAATTTCGAGTTAGTGTCGCAACGAGGGTAAGCCATTGTTCCCCCGAAACCGAGAAAAGTGAAAACAGTGAAACTTGTTGCAGGAATGTCGATGGACCCGGCTTCGCCGGCGTACGGAGCTCCACCAATGGCCTCGACGACGTCGAGCTACGATCCGGCGAACACGTGGGACGGAAACGGCCCTTACTCCCGCGTCTGGACGCCAACGAACGGTGTGGAAGCCCAGAATCTCGCCTACTCTTACTACTCGCCAGGCAGCGGCTCGAACTCGTACAGCCCCTCATCCTCCTCCTCGTCTTCCTCGTCGGCAATCAATTCAGGCAGCTCGACGAACTATTAAGATTTAGAAACGCTAGAAAAAACGGAGAAGAAAACAAAAAAGAAACAACGTCCCAAACGAGGGACGTTCGTTGTTCATCCTCCCTGATCTTCTTTTCTTTTCTATTGTTTTTTTTAACTCATCTTCTTAACGACGGATCGATCGGAACGATCGAGAGACCAAAGAGAAAAAGCACGCCAAATAACCTTGAACCATATTGGACGATCGTCGATCGGTGATAGCGTTCGATGTTTGCGCGATCGATCGATCGATCGAAGACTTAGTTTTTGTCATCGTATTCCACTGGAACGTCGAGAGAAGTTTCATTGTTTCGTTGGGTGAAAGATTTGATTTATTAATTCTTTGGTGGATTCGATGGGCTTTCGTTTTGGCGGGAAAATTGTTCTCACGGAATACGAGTGAATCTGACGAAGTGATGGAGCTTCTTTGAATATATTCATTCAGCGGCACGTGTACGCGTTGAAGGATAATTGAGGAAGTAGGAAATTGATGGGATGTATCGAGGGAAGAGCGCCTGGCCATGATTGACGACGAGACGAAGAGGCCGATTCTCGAGGATGGTACGAGTGTGTTCTTTCCTTACTCTGTAATTTCAACGATCGCCAGGACATTATTGTTTCTTATTTATTGCTCGCGCGTCACGATTATTTATTGTCTCCCTCGCATTTGTTAATAAAAGCATGTGAATAACCGAACGTGATTTTATTTTTATTACACACCTTTGGAAGTGTTCCTTGTTTGATAGATTGATGTAGTTTGTCTGATGATTAAAGTGAAATAATTCTGAGCACGTTGAAAGTAAGAGCGCCGGAAAGTGTGCCACACATCTTACACCGATGCTAACTTGATTGCCTTTCTGTGACCATGTTCAATTCAAGAATATAATTAAATTTTTGTTAAAGTAATTTACTTCATTTCTTCCTTGCAATTTCTTTAATTAATTTCTTTAATGTTATCATAGTTGATACTTCTACTTTTTTTAATTCCATGAAAAATGTAAAATTTCGTGGACAGAAAATGGCGGTTCGTTGAAGAAATTAGAAATTTAATTTTTTCGTAGGAAAAAAAATGTGTCAATATTGAAGTTAGTAGAAAAAATGTGATTTAGTGTGGAGAGGTGGTAACAATGTGTCGGTAACATGGGAAACCCAAGATGGAGGACGTTCTTCGAGGTACTCAGCGAGTTCCATAGCTGGTAACAAACTCACTCCACCTCCACTAACCTTCACGAACCTCGGTACACTCGCTAAAGATGGCGCTTCCATTGCTTCCAAGAATTTTCAGGTATTACCAACGGGTACTCAATTTTCTACCAAAAACTTCGCATAGGATTGACCTCTGCACTTGTTCCTCACTAATTCCTATATTATTTCAATTTCCAAAAAATTCTCCTACCCTAACTACTCTCAAATATATAAAAATTCCTTCTGTAAACACGTAAAATAATCACAAATGAGTAAACAAATAGTAGAACACAGTAAATTAAAATTCGCCTAATTGTTCACCAAGAGTCAGCACCTAAAATCGAGAAAATTTAGAAATCCTTCCTTTAAATATAACACCAATCATAAATTAGCAAACAGATAATAGGAGACAATTAATTAAAATTCACCTAATTGTTCACCAAGAGTCAGCACCTAAAATCCAGAAAATTTAGAAATCCTTCCTTTAAATATAACACCAATCATAAATTAGCAAACAGATAATAGGAGACAATTAATTAAAATTCACCTAATTATTTACAAAGACAAACCACCCAAAATCTTCCCCACCGAAAATCTAGAAAATTTAGAAATCCTTCCTTTAAATATAACACCAATCATAAATTAGCAAACAGATAATAGGAGACAATTAATTAAAATTCACCTAATTATTTACAAAGACAAACCACCCAAAATCTTCCCCACCGAAAATCTAGAAAATTTAGAAATCCTTCCTTTAAATATAACACCAATCATAAATTAGCAAACAGATAATAGGAGACAATTAATTAAAATTCACCCAATTGTTTATCAAGATAAACCACCTAAAATCCACCCCATCAAAAATCCAGAAAATTAAGAAATCCTTCCTCTAAATATGAAATCAACAATAAATGAATAAAGAAATAATAGAACCCAATTAATTAAAATTCACCTAATTGTTTACAAAGACAAACCACCCAAAATCCTCCCCATCGAAAATCCAGAGAATTTCAAGTTCCTGGAGTAAAAGGACTGCGAAAAAGGTATCGTAAAATGGCAGCCGGGGTCTCCATGATTACAAAGGAGCGACGGTAATCTGCCATTTACCAGGTTTACGCACGACCCTTCGTTTCCATCGATTTACACCCTGCAACCCTTTCGTCGTGTGTCCCTTAACGAGGCGCTCGGCAATTCTCTGCAACAAACACAACCCTTTCACCTTTCTTTCCGGAATGAACGGATCCGAAAAAACCGCACTGACCAGAAAACGCAGTAAATTTTATGGCCAGCGAGAAAGGTGGGCCAGGTAATTTCTTCTCGAGTGTCGAAACGTTCACGAAAGGGAAAAAAGGGTTCTCACCATGGCGGGGCATCCGCGAGTAGTGGCGTAAGCCCTTCATCCGTGTTCTAAGTGAGAATACAGACATAATCCGCTTTAGGTCTTAGTCCTTTTGACCACTTGACCGCAGCATTTCCTTTCCTACTGGCATAAACTCTACGGGGGAGGAGTTCAAGGTGGAAGGATTGTACGACGCTGCGTTGCATCGACGAAAGGACGATTAATGGACGAAAGTGTACGATTCTCTGTGTGACTACCGTATTTCCGTGGGTCACTCGGTGTTTCAGAAGTTGCTTCTTTTGTTGCGAACGGTAGAAATGCGGTTGTAATGTCGCCGCCTTGATTCGTTTCGCAAGGGACAATGCTTCCCGAGATCAATTTTAGGGTTTGGGAAAGTTGCTTGATTTATGTTAATCTAATAATATGACGGAAAAATTGTATTGTCCTGTTTCTGTATTTAATAGCAGCGCAGTGAATAGAAATAAAAGTTGGAGATTTCAACGCAGGGATAAGCAGTGTTCTACGAACTAAATTGTTAAATTTTTCAAATTCCCCTTTCCTATGTTCCATTTCGCAGTGCAGAAATGTAAATTGATATTCTGTTTATCGGTGAACGTAATACAAAAGTTTGTATGTAGAAAATTTGTTAATTTTCGATTGAATTTTCGAAAGTAATCGAGTAACGAAAAATAGAAGTGAGAGATTTCAATGCAAGGATAAGCGCGATCGTTGCGCGAAGTTTCAACGATTCCATTAATAAATCCACCAAGGTGTACCGCACATATGTGCAGACTCTTGATGCAATTTTCTCAACGAAATTACAGCCTCGTCCCGTTTCTAGTTTATTTACACCATATCGGTGTTGGGTATCGTCCCGTTTTCTCGCGCGTTTTAATGAATTCCGAAAGAAAGACCGGTTAGACCCGGCGGCGGAAGGGAGGCGCAACCCTTTTTCTAGAAACCGCCTCCCGTTTCGTTCGGCCTCGTTTGTGCCCCAAATCATCGTCATCATCGTAGAGAACCCTCCTTGTGGTTTCTTTTTTTAACCGGTGCATTCTCACGGTCCACAGAAACCAGACATGATCTTCTTCCTCTTCTACGTTTACCAAACACGTCGTGTAAATTGTACATTAACGTTTCTTCGTCTCGTTATAATAATTAATCACGAAATGACGTTTGAAGCGTGAATGACCACTTCGTTTAGTTCTATTTAGGAGATTAGTGTCACAGCGTGGAGAATTGAAACTAGCTACCGAAAATGGCGACTAAGTTAGACACTATTTATATAAAAAGGATTACTGTCACAGTGTTCGAAATTAAATCTGGTCACAGAAAATTGCGAATAAGTTAAGCACTGCTAATATAAAAAGAATTATTGTCACAGCGTTCAAAGTTAAAACTAGCTACAGAAAATGGCGACTGAGTCAGACACCGTTTACAAAAAATTACGCGTGTCAATCTTCTTCCTTCTATTATTAGAGGAACTCGTTTCCACTGTAAATGACCAATGCGTCTATTTTTATCTAAAATATTATTGTCACAGCGTTCAAAATTAAAACTAGCCACAGAAAATGGCGACTGAGTTAGACACTATTTATATAAAAATTACGTGCGTCAATCTTCTTCCTTCCATTATTAGAGGAACTCGTTTCCACTGTAAATGACCAATGCGTCTATTCCTATCTAAAAGATGATTGTCACAGCGTTCAAAATTAAAACTAGCCACCGAAAATGGCGACCGAGTTAGACACCGTTGAAAAAGAATGACGCGATCAAAATCCTCCTAATAGAGTAATTCATTTCCCTTCCACGCGTCGATACGAGAGTAAACACACTCGAAAATCAAAGTTCCCCCCGTTATCCGCGTCTCGAGTGTCCAGGACCGGTCGAATAAAGGCCGAGGCACGATCCTTGCGGGCGTATAGATCGATCGACGCACAGGATGCGTAACTTCCTGCATTTGTATTCCCTCCCAGCTCGTGCACGGACACTCCGTAGGGACCGTCGAAAAACTGTCGGCCGTTTGTCGACGGCCATCGACAACAGGCGACCGCTGCGGCACCGTTCGTTCGCTCTCGTTTTTTTTTTTCTCTTCTTCTTCTCCTTTCTTTTTTCACCACCCGTTTTTCTCCTTTTCTCTCGTTTTTCCCCGCCGCCGCTGCTCGATCAGTTTTCGATCCGAAGCTATTAAAAAAAGACGACGGTCCATCGAAAACTGCGCGCCGATCCTTTGTCGTGCGAGGGGAAATGCAAGGCGTAGGTGGTTAAGGGGAAGCGAGAGCAGGGTGTGTAACCGAGCGCCATGTTACACAACCGGAAGGAAATCTGTAACACAAGGATTCTGCTTCCTCCTCTCTCGTGGTGATCTCGCGCGGGCAAAGGTGCGCGGACAAAAAAGTGCAGCTTCATCGGGAGTCGCTTGCGTAATTCCTTCCTCGTCCTTCCGCCTTTTTACGCATCTGCCGCAGCAGCGCTGC